TCGAATTAATTCTCAAAATTCTTATAATACTCAGGTAATGTAATAATCCCCAATATCATTAGTTAAAGTTTTAAATATATAAAAATAGACCAAAATCTTTATTTTATTATACTTATCTAAACATTGAATATCTAATAATTATCTAAACTAAACTAAAAAAACTTTTTTGTTAATTATCTGGTCATGGTAAGATCATCTGGTTTCGGGTCTTATATTTTTAGAAAATTGATTATCAATTATTACAAGTATAAAACTAAATAAACTATTTTTAAAATTTATTATTTCAAAAATAAAATATATCTAAGTCCTTTTCAGTCTAAAAAAAATTATTTTTAGATAGAAGAAGTTTGGGCGAAAACAAGGGCTCGAACCTTGATATATAGATCCACAATCTATCGTTCTACCGTTGAACTATAATCGCCTTATTTATTATTAAAGTAAAAGGTTACCCTTAATTAAAAAAGAAATATTGTTTTAAAAATACATTTAGTAGAGTCCCTGGAAAAAAGTAGGGAGGGGGGATTTTATTCAATTGTTAATTCAACCAAGTTATTATCTTGTCATATAAATTGATAAGAATTGGTAAAATCTGAGGTTAATACCTCAGTAAATAGTTGTATGTTAAATTACGTATTTAATTTTACTAAACAATATTACTAAAAAATAATTAATTAAGTAATTAATAGCTAATAATCTTGACTATTTTTATAAACTAATTTATATGATTTATTCTTAAATTTATAAATAACACCATCTTCACATCTTCTGGAAATTGTTTTAATTGAGCATTCTAAAGCTAAAGCAGCTGCTGATTTAGTAGAATAGGTTATCTCTTCACCATTTTCAATGTTTGTAGATATAATAACACCCCTATAAGAAATCTTCATTTATAACGAGTTTCTTCTGATTGAGTGATTCCAGTTTTATTAATTCTATATAGCTCTTTAGTATAATCATTAATATCCTTACTTTTCATTTTATCTAAAGTTTGAGTTGAATGGCTTTTACCATACATGGATTTAATTCATCTGTCATACTTTTACTTATTAAAACTTTTCTTTCGTCTATCATTGATTTTATCATTGTTTTACTAATTAAAGCTTTAGTTCTTTGAGAATGTGAAGCGCCTAAACAAGAGTCAGCTATAGGAAGTAAGTTAAAGTTAGTTAATAAGTATTAAAAGATCACTTAAATTATGAATTTTTATTTAAAATTAAGCACTTGTAACTTAATTGGAAAAGTATGAGTCTTCGAAACTTAGCAATAATAGTTCAAATCTATTCAAGTGTTCTGAGAGAAGAAAGAGAATAAAAGATAGCCGTGGCAGCCATTACAAATATTTAATTTTTTTAATAATATAGAAATGTATTGTATTAATTCTTATAAATTTCCCTTAAACAGTCAAAACTTAGCAATAGTGAGTGGTTCAAATCCATTTAAATATTCTTATATCTTCTTATTTTTTATAAGAAAAAGAATATTTAATGATTATATTTTTATTATAATAATGAGTGGTCTATATAATTATTATAATTATATTTATATATAAGCAGTTATAGGTAAATGGTATACCAGTGCTCTTCCAAAGCGATATTCCTTTTTCGATTAAAGGTAACTGCAAAAAATTCTAGATAGCTTATTTATAAAATAAAGTAATGCAAAGTTCAGTTCGAATGAACTTAATTTAAAACCTTGGGCATCGAGCTTCCTTTGAAGTTTTATATTTTTCAATCTCTGAGAGAGGTCTATATGGATTATAATAATTATAATTAAGTTATTAGGATCATAATGATTAAACTATATAATTAATATTGTTAAAATCTTTTAAAAGGTCCAATAATAAAAAATAAAATAATTATAAATAGGCAGTTATAGGTAAATGGTATACCAGTGCTCTTCCAAAGCGATATTCCTTTTTCGATTAAAGGTAACTGCAAACCTGGTTAGCTTTATAAGGTTCGTCCTCCCTTAGCTCAGGATAGATATGATGATAAGTAAGGTCTCTAAACATATGTAATTAAGTATATAAATATACTTTGCATTATCTCCTTTAGGGGTAAAACTCTTAAAAGGGTAAAAAAGAGTTTAAACAGAGATAAAGAATTAATAAATAATAAAATGATAATTAATAATACGATGACAATTAATAGTACAATTAATTCATTATTAGAAGCATTAATTGTAATAGGGCCTTTATTAGGTTCAATAGCTTACGTAACTATTGCTGAACGTAAAATAATGGGATCAATGCAGAGAAGAATTGGGCCAAACAAAGTTGGTTATTATGGGTTATTACAAGCATTTGCAGATGCTCTAAAATTATTAGTTAAAGAATTAGTTTTACCTTCAAATACTGATAAAATACTTTTTGTATTAGCACCTATGATTTCTTTAGTTTGTGGTTTATTAGTTTGGACTCTTATACCATATGGAAAAGGTTTAGTAATAGCTGATTTTTCATTAGGAATTGTTGTAATTTTAGCTATATCTTCAGTAGCAGCTTATGGAATTATTTTAGCAGGTTGGGCCTCAAATAATAAATATTCATTTATTGGTTCTTTACGAGCTACAGCTCAATTAATAAGTTATGAAGTAGTTTTTGGATTAATAATTTTATTAGTAATTTTTTTTGTAGGTTCATTTAATTTAACTACAATTATAGAATCTCAAAAAGCTATTTGGTATATTGTACCATTATTCCCTATAGCACTAATGTTCTTAATAGCTATATTAGCTGAAAGTAATAGAGCACCTTTTGATTTACCAGAATCAGAATCAGAAT